AATGTCTAACCACTGTGCTGTAACTAATATAAAATAATATTATATGTCAACTATAACTGAAAAAAATAATTTATAAAAGAAAATAATAACATATAAGGAAAATAAAATAATTCGGTTAAGTATCACTCCCAGGAAAAAATTTCATCATATAGTTAATGCTAAGGTTTAAACTTTTTGTCAGCTACACTAAAGTAAATGTGAACTTTACATATTAAATTGAATTATAGTGTTGGGATTGCATTTAATGTAGCAGCTGATGTTCCTCTGTTGACTCTTCACCTGGATGTCTTGGGCATTGACCTTGAGATAAAATGTACAGAATGGGATGCAGAGTCTGACAGATGAGCCGTCTCCGCCAAACATACTCATGATAATCGAAACATCAGCCACAGCCACAACCACAACTCTTACCTCCAGGTGAATGGTGGGAAGATTACTATTCAGACATTATCTCACATAATTATTAAACCAACATTTACAGATAGGTTTTACCAAACTGATTTGTAGGTGCAGGGACTGTGGCTCACAGCAGATGTACCAACTGAGACCACAAGTCAGGAAGTGATGGAGCTAGAAAATGCTAATTTACTTACATCGTCCAGGGCCCTATATAAAGGCAGGGTGTGGGCATTCTTAACTAGTGCCTTGGAGCATGGAGGCAATGAAAGGAGTTTACCTGATCCTGCATACAAGTGTTAATTCCTGCGAAAAAGATGCTGTAGTTCAAAGATGACACTGTCATTGAACAGGATAGAAATGATTGATTGAGTGCCTCCACACTGGAATTTCATTCACTGACCAAAAAGTAGTATTAAAGCATCTAAGACCTACACTCTCATTACATTTGAATTTTCCATGTTCGCAGTTCCATCTATTTATACCAAGGAAGACTCCCTTTGGTCATGGCTTACAAACCCGATTACTAGTTTGTCTTGGTTGTTAAGCTTGACCCAGTGTTTCATAAGCTAAATAACCAGGTAGGTATCATTCTTGGTTGGCCTAAGAAGAGCTTTGCTGCTGGGTGGCATAATTGTATCTGGCTGTTGGTATTAATGGCATGACTGGTAGGTTAGTGTCCTCTAGGGCAAAGGAGTATTCTTATAAGAAAGTGCCAACTCTTGTTCCTTAATTTTATTACTATTCAGTGAAGGACTATATGTGCACGCTTTGGCTTTTGGATAATAAAACTTTGTGACATTAGAAAGTGCAGAACTTGAAGGAGAAGCTCCCCAAAATAGCACTACATTTTATGTTTTGACTGTGAGTTCCAAAAAATTGATAGCATGTGGTTAACATTTGACAATACATTTCAAAAGACACACACACCACACCTGAGGGCCCTTCCTCTTGTTTTCAGAGCATAAATTGATCAGGTCTTTGTATGGGGCAGTGTTTTCTGTTAAGATGTTGGATTACGATTGGGAGTGCTATGGCTTCAATGTGACATTGGATATCTGGAAATTGATTCTGATTCTGATGAAGAGTCAGTAACACCAATCTTAGAAAGAAATAGAATAAAACACTCTTGCAACTCAACACCAAAAAAACAAGCAACCCAATTAAAAAATGGGCAGAGAATATGCAGAGACATTTCTCTAACGAGGACATACAGATGGTCAACAGGCATATGAAAAAATGTTCAACCTCACTAATCATTAGTGAAATGCAAATAAAAACCACAATGAGATACCACCTCACCCCAGTCAGAATGGCTATCATCAATAAATGAACAAACAACAAGTGCTGGCGAGGCTGTGGGGAAAAGGGAACCCTGCTGTACTGTTGGTGGGATTGCAGATTGGTGCAGCCACTATGGAAATCAGTATGGAGGTATCTCAAAAAACTGGAAATGGGACTACCTTATGACCCAGCAGTATTTATTCAGAAAAACCCAAGACACTAATTTGAAAAAATATATGCACCCCTATGTTCATTGCAGCGCTATTTACAATAGCCAGGAATTGGAAACAATTGAAATGCCCATCACTAGATGACTGGATTAAGAAACTGTAGTACATGTACACAATGGAGTATAAAGAAGAAGGAAATCATACCATTTGCAACGATATGAATGGACCTAGAGAACATTATGCTAAGTGAAATAAGTCAGAGAAAGACAAATACCATATGATCTCACTTATATGTGGAATCTAAAGAACTGAATAAATGAGTAATGTAAACAGAAATAGCCTCAGAGACACAGAGGAAAAACTGATGATTGCTAGACGGGATGAGGGTGGGGATGAGGGCGAAGGGGAAGGGACGAGACATCATAAACTGGTAACTACAATATTGCCTCAGGGATAGAAAAGACAGTTTGGGGAATATAATGAATAATATTGTAAATATTTTTTAGGGGACCAGACAGTCTCATGTCTTGTTAGGGAGACCACTTCATAGACAGTGTAGAGGCCTGACCACTGCACTGTATATCTGAAGGTACCATTGAATAATATTGTATGTCAACTATAATTTAATACATATATAGTCATGGGATGTGGAATATAGTGTGGGAATGGAGTCAATGAAATTGTAATATATATGTATGCTATTGGGGGGGTAGTGGATCAGGGGAGGGGGATTGTCACTTTGTGAGGGGTGAAAAGGATAACTATTGCATTGTTTTGTACACCTGAAAATAATAATAAAAAATAATAATAAATACCAATAAAAAATAAAAGAAAGAAAGAGAAAGCTTCAAGGGCTGAATCTTGGCTTAGTGGCTCTAAGACACGCAGAGAAGAAGGAGTGGGTTCAAGGCCTGGGTCATAGGACGCCATCGCAGGACTTTCTCGGCTCCAGCAGGTTTCTGCTGTGGTGGAAGGAGAGAAGAAGCCCAGTGTTTGGATGGACTTTGGAGGCAGAGATGAGAGGACTTATTTACACATGAGTGGTGGTGATTTTCCAACAGGTGTTCATGTTTACAGGGGGAGCAAGACAGTAGAGGTGAGGGAGGAATGGATTTGCTAATGAGGGTAACCAAAGTCATGGCAAGAAGAAAATTCTGAGAGGTCCTAAATTAAATTATATCAGGCTAGTGGTTGGAAGGAAGAGACAAGAAAGGGTTAATCAGTTAACAACCACAGGGCCAAACAAAAGACTTCTTACATTCCTGAGTACATGTTGAAACTTTGAATTGATTTCTAGGTGGCTATTTCCTAGATTATCTAAAAAAAATGGCCAGGCTCCACTGACCCCCAGGAGCCTCTGCTTCTTGCCCACCACCAACCCAGAGCAGCAGACACTTCTTGCTTACAGACGATGCATCTAACCCAGAATCACCCCACTTCACCTTATTCTGCCCTCTTATCTGTAGCCAATGTTAATTCTTTCAAAACAACTTACATCTTTCTTCCCCCCATGTGATGTATAAAAGAGCCTGTCAGCTCCAGGATGGCAGACATGTTGCCTTCTCCACAGAGCGCTGCTGCTGGTGGTTTCGGCTGTAGGCCCCAGGACCTGGTCCTTTTTCTGGCGAGCAATGGTCTATAAACCCTTTTAAAAAGTCTTTCCGGGGTAGGCCGAGTGGCACGTTAGTTAAGAGTTTGCTTGGGACGCCAGCTCTGAGCAGCAGGCCCAGGTTTGGATCCCACATGCAGGCCAGTGACGCTGTGCCCTCTACAGCTAAGATAGTGAACAACAGCTTGACCTGGAGCTGGGCTGCCGTGAGTCGCCAGCGACGGTGTAGGCTGCAGTAGGGCTGGCCGGCAGCGGGCGTGAGCTTTCACGAGCTGCTGTGAGCCACTGTGAGCGGCTGTCCAATGGCCGGTGAGCTACTGCCTCACCTGGGGAAGAACACAATGATAATACCAACATGGGCCAGTGAAGCGACGTCCTCCACAACTAGACTGAAGAACAAAAGAACAACTTGTCTGTTCCCCTCCCCTAACTCCCCAATAAAATCTTTAAGAAAAAAAAAAAAGTCCACAATAGAAGTTAAGTTTTGTTTTGTTGTTTACAATTATTTCACCTGAAACCCACCTACATATTTTTTTTCACATGACAGTATGAAACATGTTAGTGAAGACTATTAAGGGAGATTTGCTAGGGCAGTGTGGACAGGCTGCACTCCCTTTGTGCTGGAGTTTGTGCTCTTCTGTAAGTTTTCTCATGTGTATGTGAGTCTTAGCATTTAAAAAACATTATTAATTGTTAGTACCATATCTGTAATCAATATGTATGTATACAGAAACATCGTTCTTGGTTTTGGTTTCTCTGCACACTGATACATACATTACAGAGGACACCCTGAGGCAGGAGCCACACATCCCTTATAACAAGGTCCTGTGCTGTCAAGCTGCCTCTCCTGGTGTGAAGCTAGATGCCTGTGGCTAAGAAAGCACACTTCTGTCCTGTGGCAGGAGCTGTGGTGTGTTTCTTCCAGGCGCCCTAAATGCTGACGACTTGGGGCAGCCTGATGGCACACAGAGAACATTGGGATTGAAATTCACAGCCCAGGGGCCTAATTCTGGCCATGCTGCATAATAGCTGTTCTACCTCTAGAGAACTGTGTTACCTGACTAGACGTTGGTTTTGCATTTAGAAGTTAAGAGGTTAGTGCTAGAACACCACTCAGGTCCCTTCTCACTCTCACATGGTAGTGTCTAGGGTTCCTATGACACATCCTGTGAGTTACTGGCGTGCTTCGTTGCCCCAGCTGGGAGGTTGCACTGGAGTACTTTGACTGCTTGGAGGTTAGGGGAAGGGTTTAGGAGGTGAGCAGCTTCCTAAAAGCAAGCCTTTGAGGGTAGCAGGTTTGTAGCCTGGTGAATGGTGCTGAGGAGATGTAAACTGCCTTGCAACAAGGAAAATGTAGGCAATGGTGACTAATCCAGCACAAAGGAGAGGTTGTCTCATCCCTCTGAAATGTCTGCAGTTTCTTAAAGCTGGCAGCTTTTTGCACAGTAACAGAGTCAAGCATGCGTCGTGTGTTGGCATGGGAGGCGGTAACATGATGGTGTTCTGCAGACCCATTGATCCCTCTCTTTACTTTCTCCCAGGGCTTTCCAGGAAACACAAACGCAGATAGTGTGGTCCACTACAGACTCCAGCCTCCCTTTGAAGCCCGGTTCCTGCGCTTCCTCCCCTTAGGCTGGAATCCGAAGGGCAGGATTGGGATGCGGGTTGAAGTGTACGGATGTGTATACAGTAAGTGGCATTTGCTCCCCGACTGACATCAGTGGCCCAGTGACGTGTTCTAAGCACCACAGTGGATACTGAACTTGACTTGTTCAGCCTTTTAAATATCCATGCACATAGAATGGGGTTTTTATTGGAAAGCCTTGATAACACTGTCTTTAGTTATTTTATAGTTGAATTCAGAGGTAGATCTGAACTGAGCCTTAAAATCTTAGATTCCTAGAGTTAGCAGAGGACTTTATAGTAGGCACTTCATAAAATTAATGGAGTTCGAATCAACAACATCATTTCAGTGACTGATGGTGCTGTTTCCTGACACCAACATGACCCTCATGTGGATAACTGCAGTACCCTTACATTCCCTGTACCCCACAGTGACTCAGTTCTCACTCCACTTTCTTCACTTACATCCCTGTGCAACCTTCTTGTGACTATCTTGTAGTATGTCTTCCCTCTTCTCTCCAACGATAATAAAAGTAGCAAAACTGGCAGCCAGTGTGAGCAGAAACACAGGCATAGAAGCATTCAATGAAGTATAATATATGGGTGGACCAACTCTACAGGTATCATTTGAAAGAGCCAGAATGTACTGGTATCTGTTAAATTAGGACAAAAGGAAAAATTAATTTTTAAAATATTCTTCTAGAAAACTGGAGAATACCCTAAACAGTAAGTTGGGTGGGGACATCTTATGAGGCTCTGGGTTTGGTCACACCTCACTCTGTACCTGGTCAGGGTGTGAGCTTTGCAGAGAAATGTCATAAAATCTACCATATACAGAATATTTAATGTATCAGGTTTTATCTACTATAGATATTTTCTCATTCAACTTCCAAACTAGCCAAGTGAATATGGTATAATAGTAACCATTGCTTTGGAGGAGGAAGAAATTGACCCTTAGAGAAACTGAGGTGTTTGCTGGAGCTGTTACCTCTTGGATATAGGATATAAAAATGAATCTATCTTTTTTCCAAATTTGGTTCTCGTAACTAGTAATTCAGGCATTCACTTTTTATTCCCTCACTTGTCATATAAGAATTTATTGGACACTTGCTATTTGCAAAAATCTATGTTCAGTATTGGATGCAGGGATGCTTCTAAAATTATTCATTTTTTGTGGTCAAGATTTTATAGGAAGTTATAAAACTCTACAGAACAAATGTAAAATATTGTGACATGAAAATGGGGCTTGGGGAGTAGAGCGGTTAGTCAGTTAGGTTGGAAAAGGAACCTCTCTAGCAGTCAGATTTCAAAATGAAGGACATGGGTTGTGAGAAAGGAGGTAGGGTGAGTGCTTCTAGGAGAACTTACATAAATTGTGGGAGCAGGGACTTAGGGCTCTGTTAGTGCAGGGGTGGGGGTGTGAGCATTGTGGGGTGCAGTGAGTTGTTGAATAGCAATGATACCATGTGCACTTTGCTAACCCCACAGACAATGAGTAGTTCCGAAGGTGAGGCTCACTAAAGCAGCCCCATCCCAGACCGCAGGGCCTTTCCAGCTTTGGTCACACTCTCCCAATGACACATGCCACATCACTTTTGTTTCTAACCCTGCCTCTGCTTTCTAGTGTTTATATTTCCACGGAACACTTAGCATAGATGGTGTTTCATTCCCATCAACCTTTCTCCTCCTTCCCATTGGCCACTTCCTTCCATCCTTTTGTTCCTGGATGTGCTTGCTGCTGCAACAGTGAGGATGCCTGACACAGAGTTGCTCTTTGATCCCATGAAATTAGCTCCTCCTTTTCCCATTACTCTGGAAACAACTTCAAGTTTTCCGACTTCAAAGCCAGATATGCTCTTTGATGGGGATTTGCCATAAGCTTGATGTTCTTCTTGAGGAGATACTTCGCCAGTTCCTTGGGTTAGAAGTCGGTACTAGGAAGATCAAAGCTGCGCATCTGGTCCCCAGAAGGACCAATTGCTGTGCAGCTGTCAGGGGACCTACGTGCATGCATCTTATCTTCAGCAAATGTGAGCTATTGTGCACCAGGAGCTCTTAGCATAAGAATGCAGACAGACAATAATCACCACTACTTGTAAAACAACACAAAGTATGTCCCTTATTAAGAGTGGCTCTGATTGTCTTCATTTTTATTATTAATAAGAATCATTATTCAAGCATAGCACTTTGTATTTTTGTTTTTGACAGTAATTTAATGATATGGTTTAAAGCCAAAAGTGATAATTACTTTTGTTTTTAATTTGTATTTCCACTGCTCTGTTATATTGAGAAAATGCCCAAATTGCTTATCATGGCATATTTCTCTTAGATGCGACCTCTGGTGTTTTTGGGTTTTTTTTTAAGATTTTATTGGGGAGTTGGGGGAGGGGAACAGCGTTGGGGAATCGGAGAAGGGGAACAGACAAGATACTATCCTTTTGTTCTTCAGTCTAGCTGTGGAGGACATCGCTTCACTGGCCCATGTTGGTATTATCATTGTGCTCTTCCCCGGGTGAGGCAGTAGCTCACTGGCCATTGGACAGCCACTCACGGCAGCTCATGGCAGCTCATATCTGCTGCCTATGCTGTTGCTGGCTACTCACAGCAGCCCAGCTCCAGGTCAAGTTGTTGTTCACAATCTTAGCAGTAGAGGGCGCAGCATCACTGGCCCATGTGGAATCCGAACCGGGGCCCTACTGCTCAGAGCTGGCGTCCCAAGCCAATTCCTAACCAACACGCCACTTGGGCGGCCCATGACCTCTTTTCAGTTTTCTTTCTTAGTACTCATTTACAATGATAATCACTCTTCCTTTGAACATTGTGCATTTTCATAGCTTCCTGGCTTGGCATATCCATCTTTCTACCTGAAAGGCCCTCTCTCCATTTCTAGAGTATGGGGGTGAACTACGTTGGAGTCTTCTTATGGTCCCTCTGACCTGCACACAGAGGCAAAGGGTCCCCCAGAAGGTTCTCTGTGGTCCCGCTCTTCTCCACTTTCTCTCACCCCCTTCATCCAATGTCAGAATTCCCTGCAGACTTGTTCTAGGCCTTGTATTTCACTCTACAAAAGGTCTCTCTTTGGGTTTTCTTCCACTTTCTTTTCAATAACATTTACATACTGTCTGATCAATTTCAAACTGATCCTTGAGGCAGGTCTCTGAGGCCTCAGACACCCAACACTCTCCGCAGATCCACCTTTGTTTCTGTGAGGAGGTTGTTCACCTTTTGAGTCTCTTCTGAACTTTCCTTTTTGTCATCCACTCTGACTCTCCGTGTTCATGTTCAGTGCCATTCTCAGGTGTCCTCCTGACAGCTTGTACTCTTCCCATCATATTGTTCTGTACTAGCTCTGCTATTGTAATGTAATTTTATCTTTTAAAAAAATAATTTTATTTTTAAGATTTTTATTAAAATAAAGCTAACATACAATAATATATTAGTTTCAGGTGTACGTCATAGTTATTCACAGTATCCACCTGGCATTATACATAGGTATTATGATATTATGGATTATATTCCCTGTACTTTACATCCCCATGACTATTTTGTAGCTACCAATTTGTATTTCTTAATCCCTTTACTTTTTTCACCCTTGCCCCCCAACCCCCTGCCATCTATTACCCCAATAAATCTGGTACCCATCTGACACTATACATAGTTATTACAATATTATTGACTATATTCCTTGTGCTATACCCTACATTTCTGTGACTACTGTGTAACAACCAATTTGTACTTGTCATCTCTTCCCGTTTTTCATCCTCCACCCCAACCCCCTTCCATCTGGCAAGCATCAAAATGTTCTCTGTATCTATGAGTTTGTTTCTGTTGCATTTGTTTGTTTATCGTATTCTCTAGATGCCACATATAAATGAAATCATATCACATTTATTTTTCACTGTCTGACTTACTACATTCAGCACAATACCCTCCTAGGTTCATCCATGTTGTCACAGATGGCAATATTTCATATCAAAGTATAAATAGAAGATAGATTTTGATCTAAGGATAAAAATGATAAATGTCTCTAAATTTAGCCTTATGGTTTTTATAATATCTGACTTTAAGTAGAATAATATTGTTAAAATAATATTAACTCTGAAGTCATGTGAAACAGAATAGTCTCTTATATTTTGGATGTAAGCCTTTGTTTAATGCTATTTTAATTTATTTAATTTATATTGAAGTTAGTACATAATTACTGATTTATTTTTAACCTAAATTAAAGTTATGAACAAACTTTTGCATCTAAGTAAGGCTTTTGCTAAAGGTAAATATTGAAAGACATATTCATACACAACTAATAAAGTACAGCAGAACAAGCAAAGTTGGATTATATTATAATAATTAAATTAATTTAAAGGCATAAAAATAACTTCTATGCATTTAAAATATTATTTTCAAATGTTATAATTTGTTACCAGAATTTGAAGCCTGAAATGATCTGTAATGTCTGAAAAACCTGAGTTGGACAATAGGATCAATTATAAATAAAACAGAAGTGATGTGTTGTGTTATCAGTAACATTATTCACTCAAAAGTATATAAAACTTAATGATTCCTAAATTGCTTTCCTGACCTGGCTTACCTAACCACCCCTAAACCCAGTCTTCCTCTAGTATTCCTAATAGTTGGTTAATGATTCTGTCACTCACCAGAAACTTACACTAGAAACATGGGAGTCACCCTTGAAACATCTGTGTCCCTACACATCCAGTGAATACCAAATTTTGCATATGCTCTCTCCAAATCATACCCTAAATTATTTTAATTATCTCTATTTCAGCTCATCCACATAATGCAAACAGAGTCACCAAGAAAGCCTCTTCTGTTTTGCACAGTTTACCTGGTTTGAAATGCTTCTTCCCTATTTTTTCACCTGTCTGTCTTCATCCCATCATTCAGATCTCCACTTCAATGTCTCTTCCTCAGAGATGCATTCTCTGACTTCTCGTCTAAATTTGCTTCCTCCCTGTTAAGTGGCTAGCTGGTCGGCCTGTCAGTGGTTTGCCCTAACCAGTATTGAAATCTCAGGCTGGCTTCGAAGCTGGCTTTCCCTTGCTGCC